AGGGCAATTGCTCCTTGGTAGACTTAGGTTCAAGAAATGAGGGACAAAGGTGAAGCCCTTGGGAGACGCGGACAAGATAGCTCCCGATTTACTTGGCAACTTCAAGAGAATCCGCAAAACTGGAGCTGGGTCCAGAGTGTACTTGCCACACAACTTCCGTACCTTCTTTCAAACTGCACACATAGGGGAAGTCGAGCTAATGGTAGACATGTAGTCTTGCCAACAAGTGCATTTAGTATCGTGTATGACGTGGCGAGCGACTCCCCTTGCCCACTTAAAATCCAAAAGACGATCTGAGGTCCAATGATATCGATGATGGCCCCACGCAGCACATTTCAAACATACTGCATGTGCACATGCAGGAGACCACCAAGGCAAGCCTGTCTGAATGCCTGCCTGAGGTTTGAGGACTAGAACGTGATGCTGCAGTCAAAACTAAGGTCGAAAACTGATGCACCAGCTCATCAATATAGGACGAAGGAGGGTCCTTACAGAAGGCGGTAAGATGTGAGTATAAGTCACAATTTGCTTGTCCAAATTGTCAATGAGGGCTACGAGGCAGTTGGGAATACATAGTAGAAGTAAGAAGAATAGGAAAGTGATTACTGTCGTGCAAATACGGGAGAACAGACCAAGTGTAATCAAGTGCAATTGACGAGGAGCAGATAGAAAGACCAATGCAAGAGAGTGCGAGAGTCAAAAAGGGTGGGAGTACCCATATTTAAAACATGAAGAGGATGAGAAGTGAGAAGTCTCTCCAACTGATCACCACGAGTCACAGTGGGACCCTCCCCAAAGATGATGGTGAGCGTTAAAATCACCTAACAGCAAGATGGGCGGTGGTAGAGAAGAGATCAAGAATGAAATATCCGAGATACAGAATGCATGGAAAGGGGAGAGATAGAGTGCAAACTGTATACCATTTGTGCAAATAAATATGGGCTGCAGTATAATGCAGCAGAGAATGAACAAAGACCTGTTGATACGGTATATCAACGCGCACAAGAAGCACACACTCATTAAATGAGTCACCAGGAAAGGGATCAGAAGAATGCAACAGCGCACAGCCCAAAATGGGACGAATAACGACTGAACGAATTCTGGGCTCTTGTAACCTAATACATGCTGGGGGAAACTGGGAAAGCAACAACTGGAACTCTCCCCGATTATTCCTGAGGCCACGAATATTCCATTGTAAGTCATTATTCACAAAGAAGCGAGGAAATCTATGGGCTATTAGGGTCAGTGAAGTCAATGTGGAGGCAACGGAAAGCGTGTAAGCGAGGAGGAATCAGAATACTGTGAAGGAAAAGATTACTGCCAGGGTCGTGAAATACAAGGTGTAGAAGGAGGTGCGCCAGTGTCCATTGAGGGTTTTATCTCAACAATATAGTCAGAGATAGTGTCAAGTGTCTCAGCAGATAAGGAAGACGCCGATACAATGACTTCAGAGACAGGTAAAGTACAGTAAGTAGAGACTGGGGAGATTATGGAGGGAACTCAAGAGGGCTGAGAGGGAAGGGGAGTATGAACCTGGAGAAATGTGCCAGTGGGGATAGACGAGTCATGCGGTGGAACAGGAGATGGATGTTGGAAGGTAACTGGGGAAGAAGTCTGGGGAGGAACAGGAGAAGAGGGGACCACATGGGGGGTGAACCTCCACCTCCGTGTGAGAGTTAGAAGATAACATCGAGGCACCGAGGCCAAAAAGGAAAACTGTTGGGGAATTGTAAGTACCGGATGAATGCGAAGAGACTTGGGCTTATGAGATAGGTTCAGCTGAGCAGGTGATAGGCGTAAAGAGGATGCAAGCATGTGAGGCCTTGCAGACTGAGAAACTAGTGGGCGAGAAGTAGAGGTAGGATTAGGTAAGGAGGTGGGGGTTTCAGATGGTAAAGCTGCAAAAGAATTAGAGACAGGGCTACCAGCTGGGATACAGCCAAGGTTGAAGGTCTCCTAGCTACTCGCGAATAAGGGATACGAGGATGATTCCCCTGAAGGCGGCGCCGAGAGACAGCCATAGCATAAGGTCTTCGCTCTCCTTAAGACAACGGATTTCTTGTTCATTACAGTAGACCTGACAACGGCGGGAAAAAAAAGATGAGGTTCTTTGCAATCGAGACATGTATCGGCATGATCTGCGGCACCACAGAACCACAGACCGGGCACTCCACCACAGATCTGCAGTATTTTGCGGGGTGTCCAAAGTGCCAAAACCACTCTGTACAATGGTACACAGTAAAACCACCGTACCAGAGCAAGAATTGAGAGTAGCTTGCTTGTAAACTGTGACTGGAATGTTATCAATAGAAGTAATATGGGAGAGAACATGAGCTTGTTCTGCATTTTCAACTATGGGCGCACCGCCTTGAAAAGCATGAAAGGATGCAATTTGGCCAATGTGTCATAAAGAGCTTTACCAATACTATGGACAGAAAGATAATCAGTTGAAGATGTCGGCTACAGGGAAAAGAATTTAATCCAATGCGGACTTGCAAACATGGTGCGTAAAGGAAGTGGGTGTTTCGTAGGTCGTTTTTGGGTAGAATGGGGAGACATTGAAGAACCGTCGTTAGTAAATTGCTTGTAATGTTTAGACATGGTCCCGTGGGTAGTCCAACCTGAGGAAGGCAAAATCCAAAAACCGTCGCACCCATCATACAGTATTCAGGGAAACAAAACACGTAGTTAAAGCCATGCAAGAGGCAGAGGTACTAGAAGAAACAGGCGGATCCTCAGCACCTGGAGCGGGTGGTGAAGCATCACCAGCAGAGCAAGAGTCTGAAGAATGGTCCAATAACGAAGCCGAGTCAGAGCAGGATGTGATAAAAGAAAGGGGCCTGGGAGGAGGAGGAGGGTTATCACGGAATGAAGGCTCCTTGATGATGGGACTTTTTTCTTATTTTTTAAGAAAAAACAAGGAAGAAGAAAAAAAGAGGCACAGCAGAGGGACAGTCACTAGAAGGGCCGTAAGTTCCTCCTCTCATCCAAGAGGACCTGGAGACCACAAGTAATGCAGACTAAGAGGGATCGAGAAAGACAAAGTTTGTTCCAGTCAGGTGGATTTACTTGGGAAGGAAGTAGATGAAGAAAAATGGACAGACGAAGATTGTAAATAAGGACGAGGAGGAGGCTGTGAGAATGGAGAAAGGAAGAGATGAAATATCGGATGTGGGGATAAGATAAAGTGGGGACTTCTTATATTTATGAGAAGAGCTATGCAGTGTGGATCATGTATTAGTAGTAGTACTAGTAAAGGCTCAATCCTCCGCCCACTAGCCACGAGTCAGACACACTACTGCCCTCGGCATGAATTCTTAAAGCCTTTTCAGAATTGTATAACTTACCCTGAGCTTGCGGAAGACGGAAGAGGCTTTGGCG